AGATTAATTAAACTTTAAAGATATTTTTGATAAAGAGAATTACATTGTGATGAAAGATGGCTAAAAATGGCACTAAAATCAGTGATTTTTGGTGATTTCAAAACAAGAACTCATTTGAGTCAATTTAAATTAGTTTTGAAATACAGCAAAGTATTCTGCTTATTGGAAATATTAAGTTTAATCCATTAGTGTGAAATTAAATCTAAAAGCTTCAAGAAAGATTTTTAATTTTTAAAAATTCATCTTTAGGTATTGAGTTTCTGTGGTGGTACCTACATCTATACAGTGAAATATCCTCAATTTAGTTTGATACAAAACCTCAATGACAAAATAGAAAATAGCATCGAATATATGCACTTAACACAAGCATAGGATTAATTTTACGTTGTATTTTTCTTAACCAGTTTATTTGCCTACAAAGTTGGTTCACATAAAACTTGTGTGTTCTTTTGTTTGCCAAGGAAAACACATGTTTATACACAGTTTGTGTAAGGACTGCTTTCTGTGTGTTACTCTATTATAAAAAAAAAATTATGACTAAAAGTTCTTCTCACACCCCTTCTCCCCTAAAAGATGACACCTTGAAAAATCTAGGGGTTCCCTTTGTATCGCTATTTTGAACTTTGTTTGACCTATCAAAATTCTCTGGTTGCTATGGGGGGGATTTGATTTAAGTGGTCACCCCCCCTTCTTGCCCGCAGGATACAAACAAAAGCTCATCAATTCTTTCTTTCTTTCTCCTTTCCCTTAAGTGATGAGTCTTAACTTGCCCTAATAAGTCCCTCTCCTCTCTTTGTCTTTTCACCTGAGAATGAAAGCCACACAGTGCTTAAACTAAGAAGACAAAAATGAAATGTAAAAGGTGTTTAGAAAAGACAAAGTATATTACCATAGTTTTTATTCTGACACTTATAGTTCAAATCAGAAAGAGTTAAATTTATTATTATTACTACTACTACTATATAGTTTTTTTTAAAAATATTTGAGATGCCTGTTCAGAACCCACAGCCTTACAAATCTTTCTTTGGATTTTGTCGAGGATCCCAAGATACAGTGATGGAAATAAGTATAAGACACCTCATGAAATTGTTAATAATTTTCTCGTTACTGCACAAATTCCTCTGAAAATTTGTGTGGTATCTAGACTTGATGGTATTAGTATACATATTCAATTTTATAACAACTTTCCACCAAAAAAAGTTATTAAGTTATTACGAAAAATACATTTTCAAGGGTGGAAATAAGCATACAACAGTTTTGAAAATTTTTATTTAACAACAAAATTGTACAAAATTCAATATTTACATTTATTCCCTTTCAAATGTAATACTTCAACACACCTGTTTTGCATTGAATCAATAGTCTTTCTAAGAGCTTCAGATGGAATTTCATTCCAATACTGTTTAATGCAAGATTTTAAAGTTTCTCTGTCTTCAAATTGACATTTATTTTTGTATACTCTTCTTAACAAAATTCCTCCCAAATTTTCTATTGGGTTTAAATCTGGAGAGTTAGTGGACCAGTTCAAAACTTCAATATTTTTTGTTTTTTACCAGTTTTTTGTAAGCTTAAGAGTGTGTATGGCTGTGTTGTCCTGTTGAAAAATGGCATTATTGGTGTCTAGAAATGGGACAAGACTTTTCCAGCACATTGATTTATTGAGCAGAGTTTTGTTTCCCTTCCATCACTACTAAATCAGCCTTTCCAGATGCAGAAAAAACTCCCTAAACCATAACAGATCCTTCTCTAAATGGTCTTTTTGAAAACGGCTGCTTCTCCTTTCTTAAATTATGCCAATAACACTGGTAGCAGTGGGGCCCATCCAAATTAAACTTTTTCTCATCAGAAAACACCATGGTTTCCCATTTCTCCTTTGTCTATGTTACTTTTTTCTTTACCCAATCTATGTGCATCTTCTTGTGTTTAGCAGTTAAAGCAGGGGCTGTCTTCCTGCTTCAATACACAAGATTTGGCAATTCATGGAGAAGTTGACGAACTCTTCTTGGAATGTTGGGTAAATTCTGAGATTTTTGCAGATCTCTTGAGCATGATTGTCCTTTAGAAGCTTCTCAGAAATGTCAACATCTGGCTGCATTTGTAATTTTAGGTGGACGACCTGGAAGTTTTCTGGTGCCATATGATTCAGGGTCCTTTAGATAAATTCTCAACTGTTCGGAACCTCGACAGTTCTCTTGCAATGAAACTTAGATTTTCCTTCCAGTTTATAGGCAGAAATTTGCCTTTTTTCATTTTCATTAAGGGAGAGTTCCTAGGCATTTTACAGTAACTGCATTCAATTATGAAATGTTTAAATAGGACTCATGTGGCTTAAAATCATATTAAGAGTCTTTTTATAATCTGCGCATACACTTATTCTTCCTTTGGCATTCTGAAGACAACCAGATATGCAAATTTTCAATACTGTCTTATAATTATTTCCATCCTCGTAAACTTTATTTTTTGGTGGAAAGTTGTTATAAAATCGAATATGTATACTAATACTCATCAGATCTAGGTACCACACACAAATTTTCAGAGGAATTTGTGTAGTAATAAGAAAATTATTAACAATTTCATGAGGCGTCTTATACTTATTTCCACCACTGTATATAGCAGGGGTATGAGACAAAATATGGCAGCCATATTCAATGTATGAACAAATGACAGAAACATACAAGAAAGATTCTGGCGAGAAGAATTATCTGGTATGACACAGTGAACCAACTTTTTTAGCAGCAGACCTAGGAATTAATTCAATATAATCATCCCAATTTATGTCAGTGGAAAACATGAGATCAAGAAGATACAAAAAGTTGCTCTCCTGGAGGTTAGTATCTGCTCCTGGATTCCACTTTCTCTGCTGATATCAGTTACACAACCTTCATATTCCTATTGGAAATATGTAATTATAAATGCCTTCTAGCCTACATCAGCTTAAAATGATTTTAAACATTTTTTCTTTTGGTAATTTTTCTAATTTGCTAACAAATGTGTAGAAAATCTTGTGATGTTCTGTACAAATAAGTCTCTTGGAAATTGTAAAGACTCTAATTAAAAACTGTATAAGTTTTAAATGACTTTTGATCTTTTTGCTTTTATTTATCAGTTTTTATATCAGATAAAATGAAATGATTTCTATAATATAAACATCATAAACTCAGTTATCAATAAGATTTTCTCATCCAGTGAACTTGAAGTTTAGTACAAAGACTATTCTAGAGAAAAGAATAATTTATAAAGTAAATTGTCTTTCATTTAATCCTCCTTGCTTTCTCTCTTAAGCACTGTCTTTTCTGGATATAAGCAATCATTGCCCTCTCCAACTTCTTTTTCTTTTTAATATCTGAAAATTGCACATTGCCATATATAAAATATTAATTAATGAAATGGCTAGGGCCTGTAGACCAGTGTTTCTCAACCTTTTTTTTACTTTTTTTTAAATATAAAAATAATTCATAAATTACTCTTTTGTTAACTTGGAGCACACCTGGCTGCACATTAGTGTACACAGGTACACCAGTTGAGAAATGCTGCTATAGACTATAGCTATTTTTCTTTTTATTAATACCAAACTTGCTCAGGTTCTGGAGACTAAATAAATACAAAATTAAGTTTATCTTAAAAAGGAAATATACAAATATTTAGTTGTAAATCTTTGTATATTGGAGCCGATTTGACATCTGTTCTTTTTTTTATTACAGAAAAGTCGCCTTTATATCAGTGCCAGGCCAGAGAAAATGATGGTAGCTGCAGAACTGATGGATCTTAAGAAGCAATACAAAGATGGCTACTACCGGGACTTCAATATTGATGACTATGAAAGTTTTCAGGGATCAGGTTGATAGAAATATTCCTTCTATAGAATGAAAATGCCTTCCAAAAGCTAAGCAAAATATTAAGAAACAAAAACATTTTGTTAGAAACAAAAACATTTTGTTAGAAACAAAGAAAAGACTACTGAACTGTTATATAAAATCAGTTCTTTTGTAATGGCTGTGAATCCTCACAGATTAAGAGAAGACTTGAAGCAACAGAAATGTACAAAAGGATGCTGAAAATAACATGGACTGAACATGTGAGCAATGATGAAGTTTTAGAGAAAAAGGAAACAAAAAAATACACTTATACTTAACATGATAAAGAGACAGTTGAAATTTCTAGAGTACATAATGAGGAAAGAGGGCTTGGAAAATTTGATACTTACAGAACCTATTGAAGGCAAGAGGGACAGAGGAAAATAACGCATAACCTACCTAGCAAGTGTGTGTAAATGGATGGTGGAATAAGGTTTAGGAGAGATAACTAAAAGACAAAATTCATTAAGAGTTACAAAGGACAGAAAATTGTAAATACTTATGATTATCAATGTCCTGAAGGGACATGGCATATAGAAAAATAATATGAAGTAGAATCAGAAAGTTCTCACATAGTACATGTTCTTATTGTGCTATCCATTGGAAATACATGTGCAGCTATTGCTCATTGGTACCCAGCTTACCGAGTCAGTTTGCCAGTAAGTTTTCTATTCATGGGTTTTGAAATAGCACTGTTATCAATGGCTAGAAAATTTAAGCACTGTACTTGCATCAAATTTTGCATTCTTTTATATGTTGTGCCCCTTCAGGACATGGGCAATCATGGCTCTCTACAACTTCCTCTCCATTGTAGCTCTTAGCACTGTTTGTCTTTTTACTATCTCTCTCACTCTCTGGAAATCCATCCATTTACACAAACTTATTAGATAGGTTACTCACTGTTTTCCTCAGTCTCTCTGGGTTTCAGTACATCCTGTAAGTATTAAATTTTCCAAGTCATCTTTCCTTATTATTTGTCCAAGAAATTTAACTCTTTTTCTTCTGATTTGAATATAAGTGTCATTTTTATTCCCATTTTCCTTTAAAAAAAATTCTTTATGACTTATATTTTCTGTGGAACTATATCGCTGTTGCCTCAAGTCTTCTCGTCATCTGTGAGGAAATTGCCTCATATTCATATTCTCATATAGGAGAATTTGCATAATTTTGTGATGTTAACAAACACTCATTGTCACTTTAGTAATGCTCGTTGTAGTAGACACTTTGTAATTGCAGATACAACTATAGTAACACTATTGAACAATACTGGTGTCAGATGCCCTCGAATAACACTAATAGTACTTGCTTGATAATACTCACTTGAGTAGTAACTACCAAATAGTGATCCGAATAGTAATCCATGTAGTGAATAGTATAGAGAATAGCACTTCGTATAGCAATAGAGGATAGTGTAGAAATAGTGATCAGTATAGAGAAATAGTATAGTGAATAGCATAGAGAATACCACTCCATATAGTAATAGAGGATAGTGTAGAAATAGTGATCTCTTAGACACCATGCTAATTCCCACACACACACACATATATATATATATATATATATCCTTTATCATCATGGGATATATATATATATATATATATCCTTTATCATCATGGGATATATATATATATATATATCCTTTATCATCATGGGATATATATATATATATATATCCTTTATCATCATGGGATATATATATATATATATATATATCCTTTATCATCATGGGATATATATATATATATATATATATCCTTTATCATCATGGGATATATATATATATATATATATCATCATGGGATATATATATATATATATTATCATCATGGGATATATATATATATATATATATATATATATATATATATATATCCTTTATCATCATGGGATATATATATATATATATCCTTTATCATCATGGGATATATATATATATATATATATATATATATATATATATATATATATATATATATATATATATATATATATATAGATAATATTAGTGGTAAATATACACATACATATGCAAAATACATAAATATATATACATAGGTGCATACACATACATGTATATTTTTTTTTAATAAAGAATTTGAGAGGATAGAATCCAGGTAGAACTCAATGTCCAGGACAGAGTAAGGATATAATAAAAGGTTTAAACACTAATATTCCATGGTCATAATTTATTCCATTGGAATTGTAAATACAATTCCAATGGAATAAATTATGACCATGGAATATTAGTGTTTAAGCCTTTTTTATTTCATATATATATATATATATATATATATATATATATATATATATATATATATATTTTTCCTTTATCATCATGGGATCGCTTATGTTTGCTCTCTGGTGATCTGTGTTCAAACTCCAGCGACACTTTATTCCTACATAACACATAGCAATTCAACAACTTTTTCTTTGTTTCTAATTACATTTTCCTGTTTCTTAATAATCTGCTGAGCTTTTAGAAGGCATATTTTGCTATTCCACTGTGCCTTCAGATTTCAGTGTCACATTTTCCATCTTCTGTTAAAATATTTCCAGATATTTAGATTTTCATACTCCAATTTATAACTTGTATCCTGGGCTGTTCCTCTAAAGGGAATTTTAATTCAATATCTCTAGCTACAAGGCACCTTTCAGTTAATTTGTGACGAATGTTGAGTTGATACACTTGAATTTTCTTTGATACTCTCCCTTACTCCCTCAAATACTACTTTTGTTACTTAACTGAATGTGGTATGCCACTTTATGATAAATCACTCAGTGAACCTTTACGCTCAAAACTTGGAGGATCTCTCACACTGTAATAGCGACTATATACTTGTTGAGTTTGAATTAATGATCCTTAGTTTTGCTAGAAATTTCACTACTTGTGCTTATTTTTCAGTCATGTATTTTTACAGGATTCATTTCCAAAACCTCCTTTATAAAAGAAAAACTGAAAAAAATAGTAAAAAAAAGTTATTAAACTTTTAACCCCCTTGCTGACTTTTGGGCCACACTCTTATTATTAAGTGAGAGAACTGTATGCCAACAAAGTGATGCTGGGCTATAAATATACAAAACCCAATATATCCATCATAGCAATCTATTTGATAAGGGTATATCAAGTACATGTATCACAGCCAAGTATTCACTATATTGTAACAGGTTTTGATAAAAACAGTGCATAATCCTTGAAGGTGGAGTAAATTAGAAATAAAGGGTGTTCCAATAACTTGGATTGATTTTAAATGGAAATCACCTGAGTGGACTGGGTATCTAAACTGTAGGTACACACAGGATTACCTACAGCTTAGGTAACCCAGTCCACTCAGACGATTTCCATTTGAGGGTGTTCCCAAGTAGCTAGAAATGACTCGCAAGTCGCCTTGGCAGCCTCATCCTTTGAACTTTTAAAAAAAAAACCCTCTCAACAGTTTGTGAGGACACACCTCCAAATACCCACCCCCACTCATGAACAGAGATACACAGTGCATCAGTTTCTAGGAGACATGCCCAACATAGTTACGGTTGGGCAACTGCCAAAAACCTATGGTGCTGAATGGCATATTTACTGCAGTACATCTTAATTCACAAAGACAAAAAAAAACACATCTCCAATCAATTGACATTTGCACTGCTGTTGACATATTACATTGCCTGCTGATGACATATATAATAGCTAATCCTTACTGCAGATGCCTGCTCAGGTATATTTGTGTTTATTCAACACCCACAGAGCTCACATGTGTTTTATATTGCAACTATACTGAGCAGACCTTAGTTACAGTTTCTGGGATAGAGCACATTATCTGGTGTGATCAACTGTCTGAACAAGGCTCAAAACCTTGGGCACGATGAACTGGTACTTTGTGCTAGCTCAACCATCAACAACTCATGAATAGTTCTGTCTACCCAATTTCACTCACAAGGCTTGGGTTAACCTGTGGTATGGTATTCCAGCACTTTCTACAGGCTGATGACATCAAGAAGTCACCTTCCTGACAAATCAACTCTGGTGAGATTCAAACTTGTGCCCATTGTTGACATATATATACCTTTTCAAAACACTGAAATGTTGGTCCTGAGCATTTGTTAAGACAAATTAGCACCTACTTCTATTTCCAAGCCAGCATAGACATGCAGTAGCATACAGTTGTGACATATTTTTATAATATTGTGTGTTGGGTAAAGTGACATATAGATTAGTCTGTACTACAGAGTATCCAATTGAAACCAAAATAGCAGTACCCATGAAAAATTACTATCACCATCTTAATAGTCATTTATTTCAAATGAATGACAATTTCCTATTTTTGTGAAAATGGGCCAGCACAACCAAGAAAAAATGTTTTAATAATACAGGAGAGAAAATGTTAAGATTGGAATACATAGCTGGTGTAGAACATAATTTTTTTATTATATTTCATTGTTTGTTTCTTTTTGGGTTTTTTATTTTTTTTATAAATATTCAAGTTTCTTGTATTCATCGAAATCAACAGATTGGATCTAAACACACACACACACACACACACAATATTATTTGTTTGCTGGAAGATAGATTCTCAAGGCAATTCTTATCCTGGCAGAGGGGATAGGTTCTCGAGATCTCCTTACTCCAATGGAGGGGATAGGTTCTCGAGGTCTCCTTACCCCGGTGGAGGGGATAGGTTCTCGAGGTCTCCTTACCCCGGTGGAGGGGATAGGTTCTCGAGGTCTCCTTACCCCGGCGGAGGGGATAGGTTCTCGAGGTCTCCTTACCCCGGCGGAGGGGATAGGTTCTCGAGGTCTCCTTACCTGGCGGAGGGATAGGTTCTCGAGGTCTCCTTGCCCCGGGCGGAGGGATAGGTTCTCGAGGTTCCTCGAGGGATCTCCTTACCCGGCAGAGGGGATAGGTTCTCGAGGTCTCCTTACCCCCGGCAGAGGGATAGGTTCTCTCCTTACCCCAGCAGAGGGATCTCCTCCTTACCGCAGAGGGGATAGGTTCTCGAGGTCTCCTTACCCCGGCAGAGGGGATAGGTTCTCGAGGTCTCCTTACCCCGGCGGAGGAGATAGGTCCTCAGGGTCTCCTTATCCCAGTGGAGAGGATAGGTTCTCAGGTCTCCTTATTTAACCAAAAGACAAACCTGAATCTTTGTACTTTATTGAAAATTATTTTTTTTTTTCTTTTCCAGATGATATGGATACTTTCTTCACCATGACAGAAAAGCTGAAAATTATTAACTATATTTTGGGTACAATCAGAGCCCTCCCTGATGACAGCTGCATACCTGGGTATTCTAATGCCACTTTATACCATGGAAAGAGTATCTGTACGTTATCAAATATACATATATGTATATATTAAACATTTCTTGTGTCTGTTGATGTCAATCAAATCTAATGTTAACAAATTAAAACTTCCCATTTTTGTGATAGTGTGCAATAATGGACTATAGGTAGGAAGCCATAATTAATACCATATTTTTATACACCTATAATTTTTTTAATCAGATTCACCTTAAACAAGGCAGTAAAGCCACTAAGACACTAGGGGTTGTTGAGTATGAAATAATTAGAAAATAGAAATGCTATTAAGAAGCAAGAACAAATGGGAACTTTCCTTTAAACTAGATACAAATGAATGTAAACAGTGTTGCTAAAACTTGATCTTGATTTGCTAATTCTATTTTATAAACTGATAACCCTTGTGTCACTGCATACGTCTATACATTCAGAGAAGGATACATATACAGAGAATGCACAACTGAGAGTATGACAAAAAACTGGTTTTGTCTTTTATATATATATATATATATATATATCAAAGTATAAACTTAATAGTGATTAAATTTGGATTTTAAAAATTGCCAGTTTTTAATTTTAATATTAAATTTTATCATATAAATTTATAATTATTAGTTAGTAAAAATTATTTTTAATATTACACGTATTTAAAGATCTAAATAGCTATAATAGCAGGATTTTGTTGTCAAGCTTTTGAATCTTTCTGTACTTCGTTTTTGATTGGTTATTCTAGCTTTTGTAACAATGCTCCCCCTAGTGTAGGATCGTTAATTAATCTGAAACTTTTAAAACCATTTATTTTCTTTTCAACACCATCACTTGATAAGACACAGAGTGTGTTGAAACAAAATGGCTATTTTTGTAGTGATTTTATAACATACTTATGTTATAAATTTTTTTATAAAAATAATTATATATATATATATATATATCTCATTTCACCCCATGCAAGGCAGTAAAGCCACTAAGACACAAAAGGGCAAGATCAAAGATAGCAGGAAAGCATGAAGGGTGTTCCACAAGCGACAAATACAAGAAAAGAAACATTGAACTTATGGTTACATATAGCCAATTCAGCTGTAAAATGATGAGACCTTGTTGCTAATCTAGTATTGTTCTTAAATTCATAAAGTCTATGTACCATAGCAAAGTGTTCATCTGAACAATTACCATGAAAGTATTTATAGAAAAGGCACAGGGAAGCAACTTTAGAGTAGTGGAAAGATGACTGAAACCGAGATGACAGGACCAATAATATTGCTGATTCTTCTTTGGATTTTATCAAGAATCTCTAAATATATAGCAGGAGAACCAAATCATGTGACAGCAGTAGTCGAAGATGAATGAATAATAGACTTATAGATAGATTCTGGAGAGAAAAATTGTCTAGCATAACACCATGGACCAACTTTCTTAGCAGCAGACCTAGCAATAGATTCAATATAGGCTTTCCACTTCATGTCAACTGAAATTGTTTGCCTGAGAAGACACATGTCACTATCCTAGACGCTAGTATCAGCCATGTGCATGGAAGGCAGAAAGGAGTCTCTCAGGTGACTAATAGAGTACAGTTTTGTTTTGGAGGCATTAAAATTAAGAAGTCATTTTTTGCTCCAATTAACAACAGACTGTAGATCATTTTTGAGATCAGCTGCCAATTTGACCTTATTGAACTGATCAGACTTACTATTGAAACAGGAGTAAATGGTGTAGTAGAATATGTGTGTATAAATGAAGAATTAAGTTAATCTTCAAACACAGATCTACAAATTTCAATAATTTTTATTTATTTGAGTATTATTTTTCTTTCAAATTGAAAAATGAATTACAAAGATTTTTTGTGAACAACTTCACAAAACATTTTGTGTATCTTTTTTTTTACAGTACAACTGAAGGAATTGTATTAGTATATCATAAATAGGAAGTGTCTACGTATGTGCAGGTGTATGTGACAAAGGTCTACATTGTTTTCACTGTGTGTATAACTTGTAGCAGTAAGCCACATGCAATAAAGGCAGGAAGTTAGTTGCGACTCTTGGCTCATGTAAACAAACTATTGCTAAGCATTATTTTTGTAATATTGTATACTCGAGTAAATATGTGAAAGATGTGAGTAATTAAACCATTACCACAATGGAGGGGAAATTGTCGCTGTAGAATTCACTCCCTTTGCTGCTTTAGGTGCATTATGTTGCCTTGAGACTGTTGCTATAAATAAATACTTGTCAACTGTTATTTCCAGTATTTTAAACTGGAAATCGCCTAATGCCACTTTGGAATGAGCCTAAACTTCCATTTTCCAATGCCATTTTGAATTTTTCTAGACTCTACACAAGGTGTAACATCAATTAAACCCATGTTAATTTTTTCAAGAATTTTTTGTAGACAAAAATGGCCATATCTACATCCAGCAAAGCCTTTATTCAGGAGTTTTTTTTTTTTTTTTATTCAGACTCCGATGATGATTTTGAAGGCTTTACTCAAGTAGATATTGATGGTGAAATCATCGAAGTTGATAACCATGTATCATTCCGTGGATGAAAATGTTGATGACCACTAGGAGATATGATCATCCATGGCTAACTAATTTTATGGAAGCTACTGGCAACCATTAAAATACCCTATACCATTATATAAAGGGGAAGTATTTCATTTATTCATAAACAATGAAATAATAACTTTATTTGTCAATGAGACAAATAAATATGCTAATCAGGTGAAAGAAAAACCAAACTAATGCTGGTGTCTTCTCATATGTAAACATGAGGAAGCATGTCACTTTTTTGACAAAAAGAAAGTCTTAGCCATTTTGCTTCTTATTGCACCACAAAACACTACAAGGAGTAATAAAAGTTAAAGTATGTTAAATTATTAATGTATTTGTTTTTTTATTTTGTTTAAATTTTTTTTTTTTTTTTTTCAATGTCAAAACATGTATGCAAAACGTAATGCATTGCATCAAAATATTACTTATTCATTCTTTTATTAGTATACAAAAAATAAAATCTATACACACAATACAAAGAAAGTTATAACAATTTTAAAACAGTAGGTATTCATGTTTTTGTACCCTCAAAAAAACAATGCAGTGGCAGGGGGAACGGTTCTAGAAAGAAATTAGCGTGGTAAAGGTTAAATGTGAGAATTTCAGATTTGTTTGTATAACAATCAAACAAACAAACACCCTGGTCAAAGGTTCACTGAAAGATTAGTTAGCAAACAAGAATTGATCATATTTATAATAAAATAGTAAGCTCCGGAGGATTTAGACCATTAATCCCAGCTTATTGGTTAATATATATATTTTCCTAATTTTTAAATATTCCTTTTAAGGAGGGAAAATATTATCGATCATATTCTGAAGTGAGCCTTTAAAATTTCATTTTTAAGAGATATTCATCATTTGTCAATTCAAAAAATACCATGTCTTGTACGACGTTGCTGGTTGGTTAATATATATGAATACAAAAATTTGAATATCTGGAGTCTGTCAACATACCAAAAATGAGTTTTCAGTGACAATACTTAAATCTATTAGTATTTTTCTACAATTCTGAAATGGGGCTCCACATGGCTGTGTCATCCGCATAAATACTTAGTTGAGATTAATAACAATTTTTGTTTAAATCTTTAATAAATACTTGATTTTAATTTTATAATTAATGCTGGCTTTTATGGCGTGTAATAATGGATTAATAAAGTATCCCTAATTATTGGATTGATGTGAAAAAAAAAAAAATTGTACTGTTATTTTAAAGCATATATCTTATGGCCACGTCATGTTGAAACACTAGTTCTTGTATGATGACTGAAGTTAAGCAACTTTGTGCCTGGTTGGTACCTCAATGGGTGACCACTTGGGAATATCAGGTCAGTAACTTATGTGCCATGCATGATACATGCATAGCCAATCATGTATCTTTCAATACATGACTGACAAGGCACATTTTTTCCCAAGGTAGGTTGCTATTTCTTTTTGTGGTAGACTAGTTGCCATCCAAGGCTATAGAACCCAGTCTGTCCTGCTATTTACCCATAGCTGGGGAGAGAAGAGGATTCATGGAATTTGAACTTGGCTCTCTGATTCGCTATATCAGGTACTGTTGTTATTGTTCTATATACTTATGTATTGCCCACCACAAGAATTGAACTCACAACCACCAGCTAATAGAAACTAATGCTTTGTTATTGTTGGATTGACTCACCTGTTCTTTGTAATTAATTCTGCCATGAAGTTCAATATAAGCCCAAGGTATTTCTTCTCGAGAGTGGACATTCACTTGCCAGGTGAATCCCTGGCAGAAGAGCACTTCAACATTGGTAGCAGAGCATAGTTTTATTGACTTGTATAGTTCTACATCCAACAGCAAGGCCTCTGATCAGTAGATTTTGAGGCGTGGAACCACCTCTTGAATGCTGGTGTTCCCAGGTTCACCCTGACCTGGAGTGGTAGCACCTATTAGGGTCCCAGCTATGGGCAAATAGTTAACCCTCAAACTGGGGTCAGAATAGATTTTAATACCAGCAATGAATTTTTGAAGAAAAAATTACCAGCTATACATTATTACCAGCAATATATTTTTGAAAAAAATATTACCAGCAATAAAAATCTTGTCAGTATTAAATAACCCATTGAGGTTGATATGCCATAAAGCAAAACAAACCAAACCATGGAGCTCAATATAAGCCCAAGGTATTTCTTGCATAGAGTGTAAATTCATTTGCCTGGTGAATCCCTGACAGACCACTTCAACAACCATAAGCTTGGATGTGCAGTTGGTGTAATAGATAATGGCTTGGAATTGTTAAATGAAGTGCCAAGTTCCAACTCCCTTTGGGTTCATTATATTCACTGACACACAAATACCCTTGGGAAAGGGATCAAGCCACCTATTCTCCCCCCAGCTATGGGTTAATTAGTATAACTTGTATCAATAAGTCCTTATCTCCAAAAATCTCTTACAATATAAAATATTTTCCAGCTTTAAATGACCTGCAAAAGGTTAAGCCATAAAAGACCATTAATCAATGTAAAATGTCTGTTTTCAAAACAACTGTTGGTTACAATCTCCAGAAAAGACTGCTACTAATTCTCCCTCCACAAATTTAAAGACTCATCTTCCTAGCCAATAAAAATGGATAATTCTTGATCTTACCCATACATTTTTTCTTTATTTCCTTGAAATCAGAACGCTATAACCAATTGACTGTATCCCTTCTGTGTGAACACTATTTCTATTTTGTGGACTTTTTAGTTTGTTACTGTCTTATAGTTGCTTTGTTTTGAATTAATATTTGAGTTGTATTATTTTGTCCTGTTGTTTTCCTGTTTTTATTGCCATTTAGAATTTTATCAATTGCACTTAACCATACCTGCTTCATCAATAACAATCTACACACTTTACAGTACAAAGTTCACATCATACATTTTATATATTTTCTCTTTGTGCAAGAATCCTGTGTTCTGTTCAACTCTAGAATTAGTAAATATACAAACTCCAATATCTGTCTATATTTCTGAGATGAGGTATTGTAACTATTCTCATCATTTGGACTATTGTCCTCATCTTTGACTAAATAAAGGGTTCAGTTCAAAATTTCAACTTATATCACCTGAAGAAGGTCAAAGCATAAATGACCGAAACATTGTGAATGTCACAATAGAGATGATGACAACAGTTTGAACAATGTAAATAGTGTAAATACAAACTCCAGTTTTAGATTTAGGTTTTTGTTGATCCGGTTAATGCTCAGGGAATTTCAAACTGAACCCTTTATTTAATCTATGAAGGTAGATTATTCTTGTTCCAATGTCCATTTATAGGGATATCTCATCTTGTTCTTATTTAGTACTGCTCAGTTATTGCTAATCCTGTTTCTTCAGAGTTTGAGTCTATTAACCAGCCTAGGGATTGAACTCACAATCATTATGCTAATGCTCTTGTCCTGTGGCACAATCCTGAAACTAGAACTTCATGCCTTAAACCTAATGTTTGTGCTGCAGCCTTGCTGTGAAGCTTGACTCCCTCTGTTGCTGCTTCTATTTTTTACTGCTGTTGCTTAAGCTTTGCTGTCAAGCTTGGCTCTGTCTACTGTTGTTTCTCCTCCTTAATGATTCCCATATGATATATATATCTATGCTAAGCCTATTGAGGAAGTCATGATAGCCTAGCATATTCCCATCATTTATACAGTACAAAGGAAGGAATCATCTACAGCACCAAATTCATACATGGTGACCCAGACACATACCAACAGGATAGAATCAGAATCAAACGTACCCTTCAGAATAACATCTACCCTGAAAACATAACATCAGCTTTTGCAGGCAGAAACAGAAGGGTCAAGGAAGAAGATTGGAAAACTGCCACAGGTGTGTTGGAAAGGATTCAGAATATCTGCAGTCCATACATCAGGATAATATTCAGAAACAGCTCAATGTTATTGAGAAATTTTGACCAACTCAAGCATAACACAGGAGGATATTATAACGCCTCCTGCCAACAGGGTTACATCCTCGGTCATGTTCACCAATTAGGGTAACACCTTTCACTGCTGCATACACCCATTTAGTGGCTCGGGCCTCAGGGTCTTAGGACAACATTTTAATTACAGGGCAAACTCTGCACTGGTCAATGCTGACACTAGTCCAAGCTGGTTGTTGGTCATTGACTGTTTTGATCCACACCATCTCTGACCATGCTGTGTTCTTGATCTCAGAGCAGTGGAAGATTGAAGGTCGTTGTAATCACAGCACTGGTTCAAGCCATGGCAGGTGCTATATTAAGGAATTATCTTTACAACAACAAATAAAACAAGAGATTCATAGTGTTAATCTTCAATTAGTTTATATTGTTCTTGGTTCAACAAAAATTAACCCTTCCACATCAATCTCTATAGTGACACTGGGCCTTGTCTAAACTTCTGGAGGTGCTGGGTTCAAAGTCGTGCAATCAGGAAATCTGGTGGAAGCTGATGCAGATTTCAGAGGCACTCAATGTGGGTTCTCAGCCCAAAGCAACTGAGTTCTCCAAAGTCATCTGCTTGTATGCACTTTGGGCCAAAACTGACATGTTGCTGAAGGTTTCTGAGAATTCAGTGATTCCCCAATTTTCATTAATTCCAATAAAGGTTTTCTTTGTTCCCTAATTCTACTTTCTTAATCAACTTTCCAAATTTGGAGAATTATCTGTCTTCCTTGGGAGTAGTCACAGGGATTGCTACTCTCTTAACTCCAACCTGCTTCACTTCACATCTTTTACTGCTACTCCACATAGGCAAGGCTAAATTCCACCCCTTCCTCCTTCCTTCTCAGTATTCTAACTCTGCCCACTTCTCAGGGCTGGTATAACTGTTTTTGTGACAAATCTAATTTTTAAAGTGCATAGGTTTATTCTCATTAATTTCAATTCTCTGACTCCTTTCCTGAACACACTTGTCCAGTGAAAACAGAAAACCAGATCACCTCATTTTAACCTTTTGAGTGATAGATAAAAATTATTTTCCAATTTGTTTTCATCAATGAAAATATATTTGTTTACCTAAATTCTCAACAAAGAGACATGCTTTTTTCCATCCTTGTGCTGGTCACTGTCTTAGTGAAAATATAAACCAGATCACCTGCCTGTTATGATGGATCAATTTTCATAATCTTAACCCTTGCAGCGGTTTTATTCTGTGTTTTCATTTCTCAATTCATTTTTGCTAATCTTTTCACCAATGACATGTTTTTCTAATTTCCAAAAAAATAGATAAAGCCATTTGAATAATTTGCTTTACCTGCATTCCAGATTTTTGATAGATAAGAAAAAGTAAATTCTTGGTGCATCGTTCCAATTCGTAGGACAACCCAGATTGTTCTTTCTTCACATCCACATTACCAGGGAAAATGTCTTCCATTCTCTCATTCTATCTATCTTCCAGTTTATATTTGAAAAACTTTGAATTGTACTACCAGAGAGGAAAAAAATTATATTTTTATCAATATATACTTAATAACTCTGATATATTACATCAAGCACTATTTTAACATCAGCATTCAATGTACAATATCTACAATATATACCAAGGTGGGCATTGAAATCAGTATTTCAACCAGGAGTTTTATACCTTAGATGATAACTTGAGATATGAAACTCCCAGGTATGTAGTGGGGACATACACTCAAGTTTGCGTGAATATACAAATGTGGCAATAAATACATACATGTTAATGATGTGCAAATGTATGCCATTTATTCTTTTCAGTGCGTAAATACCAAAGTTCCGGAATTGTTGAAGAAGTTTTTCCTTTACATGAAGATGAAAAATTAAAACGTCTTGCTACCGACTGGTGGAAGTCTCCTTTTGGACAACAACCACTCAGTAAGTAATCTGCTTTATAAATAATTACAGGTTACTGATAATAGGACCAATTATTACAGTTTACTGGCAACAGGACTAATGACTAGCAGTTACTGACCTTAGTATAATTGTTGAGAGGCTTCTTAGTATAAATAATTAGTTTATGTATTTTATAAATGTTTCTAGGTTTCTTTGTATAAATGTTTACTGGTAACTTACAAGATTTAAATTTTTTATTTATTAACTATTCATGGATCTTGAATTAAAGTTGGGGCTAGAATAAGTGGAGGGTTCGAAAAATCAGGAGTGGGTAGGATTATTTATAACTAGCAGTAGAGCCTGGCGTTGCCCAGGGATGTAACAGTAAGAGATAGATCAAGTATCGACCATCATAAAGACTGAAAAATAAAATTGACAAAGATTATTGTTTAAAGTGGACGGACACGCATGTCTTAATTAGTTTTTTTTTACGAATTGGTCAAACCCAAACTTGAACAAAAACATTGTTTTCAATCGTTATGAGTCTATCGATTGAATAGAATTTTATTATAAACAATTGTCTTGTAAATGGAATTTTTAAAGCATTCTGAATGTAAAAATAAAGAAAAAAAAAAGACAATAAGAAACACTAGTGGCCAAAAAAAAGCTTTGTTGAAATCGGTTGAAAAATGTAGGAAATCCGATTCCATATATAAATGAACACACACAAAATACACACAAACAACTTGAGTTTTATAATAAGTATAACACAATATGAGTTGTCCCCCTTTCATTCTGGCGACAGTCGTGTTTTATCATGTTTTCAAATTGATTTTGTGCAAAAACAATTGTGTTTTTCCAATTTTTGGCGCTGTCAGAACCACCGCAAGGTAATTTTACACAGTCCTGTGAAGTTTTTGTTGAAATTGGTTGAAAAATGTAGGAAATCTGATCCAATATATAAACGTACAGACACACACACACACACACACTCTGCATTTTATAATAAGTAAGATGTCAAAGTTTCACATTTGTTTAGTGTTTGCTACCTTTTGTTGAGGAATACCATATCCTCATTTAAATAATGTGGAAAGACTACACAGGTAGGCATGGTGGAGTAATGGATAGCAGCTTGGATTGAGGAATCAGAGAGCCGAGTTCAAATTCCAGTCAAATCCATTACATTCACTTACATGCTAATACCCTTGAGAAAGGTGTGAATCCTCTTCTTCTCCCTCTAGCTATGGGTAAATAGCAGGACAGACTGGGTACTATAGCCTTGGATGGCGACTGGTCTAGGAGAAGGAAATCTCTAAATTCAAAACCTGTGGATGGTTGTTTGGGGACCTTGTGGCACGCACTGCGCCAGATCTCTAATTGGCCCTTCAAAAAGTGTGGATGGTCCTGCATGAAACCTTCACCACTATAATCAAATCTCATGTGCTATACATGTAGGTTGGGGACCGCTTGTGAATTCCAAATTCCCGTGAAACTCCAATACTGGAGCCGGCTCAACCCACCTTGGGTGAATGCCGTTACAGGTAGGGGGGGTGTAGGTAAAAACAACACATTGCACGAGTAAGATATTATTTTGATTCATGATTCAAATAAATTTTTACAAGTGAACGAATTATAATTGAAATGAAGTTTTAAAAACTATCAAATCAGTTTTGCAATTTTAAACGATCATTTTCTTAATATGCAGAGAGGGTACACTTATTGTGAACCTGGCAATCATGAACAAAATTAAACATAACAATTTTCTTAATTTTCTAAAAAAGACAAAACCAGTTTTCTATTCTACTTTGATTTGTACATTATCTGTATGGTATGAAGCTATTTCTTATCTCCAGTTATGGGATAAATAATAGGACTTGTTCTGGAAAAATCATTTTATTTAAAAAAAAAAAAGAATTCTTAATATAATATTCACTTGCAAAAAAAAAAAAAAAAAAAAAGAATTATTCGTATAATCCAAAATATGTTTTAGCTTTAAATAAACCACAAAGAGTTAAGCTGTAATAAATAAATAAATAAATCATTATTTGGCATGTTACATGTGGGTTTAATAGCACAAAATGGAAGCTGTAAATTCATTGGATTAAGTTAGGATCATGTGATATTTGTTGATTTTCTTTGAAGTGTTGACAACTTCCTGACATTGGCCTTTGTTGGATGTAGAATTTCTGGGATGATGAGCTATAATTATTTACATGTGTACAATTATACAATTATCCGAAGGGAACAATGACCAAAATGTTGTAATAACAACAACAAAGATAAGGATAATAGTCCGAATGTAAATGGTGTATATAATAAAAACAGCTCATCCCAGAAATTCTGACAGAAATTGATATTTCTCTATGATTAGCTTATCTGGAGTTGATAGCATTTGAATAAAAAAATTACTTGAAAATAATCACTGTTATACAACAGGATCATCCAAAATTAAGTATTTAAAGATATGTTTAGTGGTACAAAACTTTATCAATGCCATAAACAGACAAAAATTAATTTTATTATTACCACTCATGATGATAGTAAAAAATAAAAAATGGGCTAGCTAACCGGTTTCAAACCTCGCACAACAGATCTAAATCGAGTGTATTGGGGGTGGAGAAGGTCCCACTCTAATTTACCACCTAAAAGTGTTGGAGACCATCTATATTCTATCATTAAAGCCTTCTCTATGTAAACAGAAGGACTTTGTATTAGGCTTTTTCCCCCTAATACACTTTGTCCATTTTTTCTTTTAACCTCGATTTAGCTCTGTTGAGTGAGGTTTGAAACCGGTTAGCTAACCCGTTTTTTATTTTTACTTTTTATTATCATCATGAGTGGTAATAATAAAATTAATTTTTGTCTATTTATGGCAGTGGAAATTAAGTATTAAAAATAATTTTCACCAGCTTGTTTCTATTAGTTTCTTTGAAGTGTAGCTTCTACGTGTTAGTCAAAAGAACATACTGGACTGTATTTCTGTATATGATTCATAACTTAAAGATAATGGAAATGTTCTTTTTTTCTTTTCTTTTTTTTAAGTAGATTATGACAGGCAATGAAAACTTGATAGGTTGCAACAACATGAAATGCAAGAGATTGTGGAGCAAGCAACTTTCTTGCAATTTTAAACCAAACTTTTTTTCAGTTCAAGAGTTAAATTAGGGGATATTTCATATGAACGAGGCTTACGGACATATCACATAATAGTTCTTGAACAATCACTAAAGTTAAGCAATATTGAGCCTGATCAATACCAGTTGCTGTAAGCTTAGATGTGCAAGTGGTGTAATGGATAACAGCTCAGAATTGGAAATCGGAGTGTTGTGGCCTTGTTAGGGCCAGAAATAAAGACACAAGAGAAGAAATGAGTTAAACAAATATATTAACAGAAACAGTAATACAAACATATACAAATGAGCAAGAATATTCGGTCTGATTGTCAGAGCTGACTGCTGGAAACTCCCCGCTCAAAAGACAGTACCTGGGAGAATCCATGCATGCATGGGTAAATTACCATAAGAGAGAGCCAGGTTTGCATTCCAGTAAGGTTTGTTATATCCACTTACACACAAATATCCTTGTTAAAGGTATGAATCTACCTCTTCACTTCCCAGCTATGGTTTAATTAGTAAAATTTGTATCAGTAAATCATTATCTCCAAAATTTCTAATGATCTAAAAATATTTTCTGACTTTAAATAACCTGCAAAAGCTTGATCTCTATCTATAAAAGGCAGGATGTGTGTGTGTGTGTGTGTGTGTAACGAATGCATGGCCGCAATTTTCGACTGATTTGTACCAAAATTTACATGCACATGCTCCAAGTTAGCGGGAAGGCCAAGACCAACTTTGCATTTCCCAACTCCCATCGATAGTGGAAATAATCGATTTTTTCATGCTTCTACGGCAGTTTTCATGTAGTTTGCAGCCATTTTCTACCGGCCAGAGTGAGAGCAAATAGCTGGCTGCCACGAATAGGCAGGAAGATTCTATTGGCCAGAGTGAGAGCCAACAGCTGACTGACATGAATGTTAACTAGCATGCAAAAAAAATCGATAGCTGCATTCATCACAAGCGGGAAAAATTTAAATCTGCATGGCACTTTACTCCAATTGGCTCATTCGCTTGCTTAAACTCAACGTTGATTCTGATTCCACAGAACTGGGTTGGGTGTGAAAAATTATTTGTTGTTAACATTCTTTTTTTCATTCGTTTTTTTCCAGTTACAAGTCCTTTTTTAAAGCTGATCATTTTGTTTAGTTCTTTTTTCGTAACAGATTTAATGTTTAGTATAGAGCTTAGAAAAAATTTGCAGTGTGAGATAGGCAAGAAGTAAGGCATGTAGCAACATCAGCACAGCAAAGGGCACTCCTTTAAAGGCAAGGAAGGGCAAAAATATTTTAAGTCAAGTGATAGCAATTGCTGTATGAGTCGTACGATTTTTGAATCAAGTACGGGCAACGCCGGGCCATGCTGCTAATAAATCATAAAAAAAAACAAACCAATCATATGAATGAGTACTCGCTAGTTTTATTCAACTTTCGGTTGCTTTTTTGTTTCTTCCATTGAACCATAGTATGTGTCATTTCAACACTACCTGATGCAGGGATTGATCTTGCAACTATGAAGGAATCAAATATATTTTAACCAATGTTTCAATTCTCGAGGTCATGTTTCAAATAGTTCAGATTTGGATGTCTATTAGTCTCTTGAGAGAATTAACAGACTGCAAAAGATACTTACAGCTGAGAAAGGTACAAAAGTTATGGAAGGATGGAAATTATGAAGTTGTACAAAGGATGACAAGATAAAGCAGTGGTTCTCAACATTTTTTTAAGTCAGGTGCACTTGAAATCTTACCACTAATTGTAGGTGGACTATATACAAATTTCAGAAAAATATGTTACAACTAGCATCTTTGACTGGGTCATTCATTACTGGGAATATTTATGTTCAATTGAAGCAGTTTAAGTTTAAAGTCAGTCCACCCAAAAATCAATATTAGTAACAACATTTAGGTGCAACTGAGGCACATCCCCA